AAAAATAGTTTATGCGCAGTTTTGCATTTTGCTGATACGCGGTTTTGTACTTTAAACGACGATAGTACAATGTACATGTATGTACATGGCTGACTGCGAGCTTTTGAAAGAACAACTTCGGCTTGATTGAAAAAAAAATACACTTTCGAAATGCTTTTTTGATCAAACGTACATATATCTGTCAACATATAAGATATGGTTTATTTTACAAAAAAATTGCTGAATTCGATATAAGTTTTTCTTTTAAATGCGTACAGACACTTGTATGCATACACACTAGGGATGTTAATTTTTCAGCATTTTCCGTTCCCGGGATTTTCGGGATGCCGTTATCACAATCCCGGGATTCCGGGATTAGTCCCGGGATTTAGATATTCATTACTTTTCAACAACTTATATCGAGAAAATTGCGTCTATATTGTTTGAGAAGCTCTCCTACCATAAAATAAATAATAAATAAATGGGTCTGAAAGCTACTATTTTTTTTATTTAAAGCGGTGTTTTTATTTTTTCTCTCTGACATCAGGACTTATTTTAAAGGACTTTGTAATTTCCAAGATATGGTTAATTCCAAAAATTAATATAAAAAATTCAGTGCAATATAGAATAAAAATATGGATACCAAATTCAAGAAAAAGTTTCTTTAGAATTTAAAAAATTAAAATCAATACTTACCAGTCCCTCTGAACCAAAAACTTGAATCTGTTTAAGTCCTACAGGATTTCCTCATCAATTTGATACCCACACTTCTTCTCTGAGCACATTTCTTTAAATTTTTTAAATCAATTTTGAATTACTGACGGCACAGTGAAAAACTAAAAACGAAATTTTACTATATTTGTCACTTGATAGATGATATCGTCGCTCGAATAAAGAACCAATGTACACACATACACTATTATTCGATAATTGCACCATTGGATAGACAATCCTTTAATCTATTAGAAAAATCTTTAGTTTTCGTAAATATCTCTTTGGCTCACTAATTTATTCCCGAAAAACGAAATTGTATTTGTATGGTTTGTAATGGTTTATAAAAACTTCCCATTTGTTTTTCTCAAAACTATACTTTTCATGTTACACTATTTCATTATTCCAGCGACGATATGATATATGTATGTACATATTGATATTTGTGCTTATATGTATAATGAGCTAGACATTTATGAAAAAATATTAATTATTAAATAAAAAAAGATATATGGCCCATACTGGTGAAGAAAAGGAGTTTCTATTATTGCCTTCAGTGCAAATTACAAATCCCAGAAAATCCCGGGATTACTTACCAAAAATCACGGGATTTGTCGGGACCTTAGTAAGGCGGGATCCCGGGACTAGCATTCCTAATACACACCAAAAAAGAGATGTCAAAAATTTGATTTTTTGGTCCCCAAGCTGTCGAATTAGCCCAAAAATGTTAACCGTGTTGAACTTTTTTTTTTTGCATCGTAATGGCTTTTGGGCCTCTGCGGCCGGTGTTGCTGTTTTATTATTGTTTACATCTGATTGCTGATTAGATAGTATATGTACATATGTATGTATGTACGCACACGCATTTTAACGCTTCCCCTACAAGACATTGCTGAGCACTTTAGGCAAAAACTCTCACACATTTACACTTTTGTTTTTGTAGTACGGCATAAATGAGTAGTTTGACTATTAGTACTGAGGACTTTCTGATGACANTTGACTATTAGTACTGAGGACTTTCTGATGACAACATTGAGGGGAAAGTACTCAATTTTTACCCATGGCCTGAACGAAAATGAGGACTTTGATAAGCACTTTTGTGATTAGGAGTAATGATAATATGAGTACTCATATGATACTCAGCTGTCTTGTAGGGTCCACTTGCATTTACCCATGAGTGTTTGACTTGCGTAGGTGTGCCACAGCACGAAAATGCACTCTCATTGTTTGTTTTGTTATCTGCTTGCGTTTTTCTCTCACACTCTCCATTTCTCATTTATTTACACGCTCTCTTAAAGTCATTCATATTTTTGTGTTTTATATTTTTGCGTTTGTTATCAGCAAAAAGTCAGCCACTGGTATGCACACATTTTATTTTATATTTTATACATATTATGCTTACAAACATACATACATATAAGGCGGTTAAGTGTGTGTTTGTAATGCAATGGGGACATGCGTATGTATATGTGTATGCCTAAGCGCATCCGCAAGATATCTCAATCAGCTGATTGTATTGACGCTTGCGGGAGCAGTGGGAGTTCGCTTAACTTGCAGGAGAGCGAGAGTTAGCAGGCACATAAATACATATTTCTAAAAACATATGTATGTACATAAATATATACTTCACTTACTTACTCACAGTCCTACATATGTATGTATGTGCATACTCGTATATTGGAATGCTGCGTTATCAGCAAGAGGTCATTGGGATAGTAGCGATTGCTAACTAGAAGCAATGACTTCGCTAACGGATACAATCTTTATTAAAATACGTTTCAGTATAACATTTCAGCAATTTTTGGCTCAATACGAGTATTAATTAAAGCAAATATTGAATGATAAAAATATTTAATCTCTTTTTGTTAATCATTTGACTAATTCGCACATTATGCATACATTTTTTGTAATACTATATGATGTTGATGGCCCCTTGTTTTCGAAAAAGCCAGTGAGAATCACTTAATAACAAAAACAAATGAAAACACATTTTTAATCCGTACTGATTGCTTTTATGTTGTACTTCATTGTGTTTATACAACCACCTTGCAACGTGAAAAATGAGAACGAGAGAAAAAAGCTCATTTACTTAAAAAATTTTTCTCAACTAAATACACATATACCGAAGATTTTCGCTTAGCATCTATGTATGTATATGTGCACGAGAGTAAATTTTAGTAAAAGAGCTGAGCTTTGCCGATTAAGTTAAATACTAAATGAAAATTCCGAAAGTTAGTGAAAGAGTGTAGCGACCGCACGCATACATAAGCATGTAGACAATAATATTGAGAGTGATATGTGAAATGCTTATGCGAGCAATTGTTCTGCTTAGTTGGTATGTACGTATATGTATGGGCTCATGCACTCAAAAAAGTAATTATAGTGAAAATTATTTAGCCTTAAATGACTTTTTATAAAAGTTTAATGCAAATTTGATTTGATAAACGAATTCGGTTAAATTTCATACTAATAATGACAAAAATGAACTTTGAATTAAAAAAAAAAATTCTCTCAAATCAAATGGCTATATGGGTCAGTTTTGTACCTACATATGTAAGTCAAAATATTACCCATTAAAAACCTTATAAAATTCAAAACCAGCTAAATATTATATCATTAAAAATTTGGTGAAATCCTTTTTTAAAAAACAAAAAGTTGTGTGTAGTACACAAATGCGACTGAAGTGGAACTTCTTCTTCCCATTACGCGTATAGCACCCATGTTGAATGAGTACTTTTCTGCATAACAATAAGAAATTATCTTAATCTTAATTTAAATCTCAATCTCAATCTTACTCTTAATCTTATTGTTAATCTCCATCTTTATATAAAACTTGATTTGAATCTGAAGCAATCTTAATCTCAATTTTCATCTTAATCTTAACCTCAGTCTTAATCCTAATCTTAATCTTAACCTTCATCTTAGTCTTACTTTTATTCTTAATCTTAATGGTAATTTCAATCTCAATCCCAATTTTAATCTTAATCTTAATGTAATCTTAATCTCAACCTTATTATTAAATTTTCCTCTCAATCTTAATCTTAAATTTAATCTCAATCTTAATATTAATCTTAATCTTCTTCTTAGTTTTAATCTTAATATTAATCATAATCCCAATTTTAATCTTGATCTCGTTGGTGGTATTAATCTTAATCTAATCATGATATTAATTTTAATCTTAATCTCAGTTTTCATCTTATACTTAATCTTATTCGGGCTAAATAAACCCCGTTGTCTCCTCTCTCCTACTGACGCTTTTTTGTTTCAGTGGAATTTCGAACTTGAGCCCAAAGATCATGTCGGCATTTCGTTACATCGATGTTTTGCATTTTTATATTATTAGGGATTAAAGATGAAGCAAACGTTTTATTAATTAAAGAACCAGTTTTAGAAGGTCTTCTGAAGTGCGTTATACAAAAGCCCCTCTTGAAGCCCTTCTATGGGTAGTGAAACAGAAGCCCTTTGATTTGTGACACAACATAAAAAAGGGAAAAAGTGCAGAGAGAAGCCTCGTGACATTCAGGAAGGCTTTTTGGAGAGCATTCTAACTTCTGAAATTATCTATTGTGTTGGATCAATGAAAGCATACAGCATACGCCAATATCATAGGGCACCAACATTTTTTTTAAGGTATAGGGTATGGGGTATTGGCTACCGAAAATTCACCACATCATTAAAATTCATAAATGTTAAAATGTTTCCACTTGTCTAGTCTCATAAGACTAAACAGGTTTAGGAAAGTTTTCATGTCGGGTAAGGCGCGTTGCCACCTTTTGAAGGTATTTGAGAAATTGTTGATTTAGAGATATTTCTCATAAATAGTAAAAACTTTAAGTGCTGAAATTACATGAAATATAACAAGATTTTTCACCATATGAAACGTGTTTGAAAACCTTTACCAGGCAATTAGGTAAGGTATATATAAATTTTTACTTTGTTATTATTTACAGTGTAATCTTTATATGTATAATATGAGGCTGTCTATACCGATATCGTGATAAGACAAAGTACAGAGCGTATACATACATGGAGAGTAAAATAGTCAGCTCTGGGACTGGCCCGGTATTTTCCGCAGTCAGGTTAGTTTGATATACATATGTACGTAAATATATGAATAGATATGTATGTGCGATGGGCTCACCAAAACTGCCTGGGTACGAATTGACATACATACATGTGTCGGCCTTTTAAGCCCATACATACTTGCATACACTCATACATACATAGAAGACAATCAACGTTTCGTATTTAGTAGAAGGCACATTGCGGCGCTTTTTGACCAAGCGCAAATTCATAGGCCAAACAGTTGATATCGGAACTTGGTGGCATTTGGTTGTGGAGTGCGCGTTAATACTACTAACTACTTAACGTATTTTCGTTGGCTACAAAACGAGCACGAGTGTGTTTATAAGCACAATCAAGTACTAACTCCCGAACCGATGACGGTGTATTACAAGTGGATGGATGCGCGCGCGATTTCTCTCTCAATTTTGCCTGAGTGGTAAATGTTTTTTTATTTTAGTTGTGCTTCGAATATACTCATTGAATACTTATACAAAAAAAAATATTTTGTGATTTTTGGTGTGCTAGAAAAAAGTGAAAAATATGAAAATTGGCTGAATAGTAGACAAAAAGCGTTTCTGCCGATAAATTTTGGTAAAGAAAATAAATTAGCAAAAAAAGCAAAAGCGGGGGAGGCTGTGTGCATGCGGAAAAAAGTGGAGTGGCGTTAGCTAATAACTAATAGACCGAAATCGCATTTTCGTTGTGTTATATTTGTTGGTAGGAAGCCATCGCAAAGGCTGTGGGGCCAGGCAAAGTGGTAACACACAGCAATAACATCAAAAATATTAATATACGAAAAAAAAATAATAAAAAAACATTATTAGAAGCTCAACTGGCTACACAGCTGCATCAACAATCCACTTATTTTTTGCAGCTATTAATATTTTTTCTATGGTTTTTTATTCTTGACTTCGATTGCTTGCGATTGTGATTGTCCTATGTTTTTCTGCTTTAAATGTCTGTTGACCCAAAAATTTTGCCATTCTGTTGGACTGTTTTGAGAAAGTTTGTTGCGTGTTGAATTGGTGAAAATATCTACACTGCGCTGACTCTTAACAATATTAAGAATCAAACACAAATTAAAGTATTCTATCGAAAGAAAATGAATAAAAAAGAAAATCAATGAACGGCACAACAAAAAAGTTGTAACAATAAACTATTTAATGGTTTGAATAAACCCGCAAACGAGCTAGTGAAACCGACCAAAAATAAACTTTTGCTTTGCAAGAATTTTATGTAGATATGTCTCGTTGGTGACAGCCAAAAGGCAAAGAAGCGACGAGCAGCACAACAACACAGCTGGCTGAGTCTACATAGCACCACAAGTGAAAGCAGCGTGATTGTTAGGCGGTACGAAAGTACAAAATAAAACGAAACAAAGGAAAAAATGGCAAAAAAGTCGCTTTTAGTTGAATCGTTTTATTTTAATTTGGTCTCTTTTTATAAGTGCCTATGCTATTCTTGTTTTTATTTATTTATCGCATACAATTTTGGTTGTGTTTACATTGGGCGCGCTATGTGCCACAATGAATGGGTGGTGTTGGTGGCGGCGGAGGCGGCGAGCACTTGCCGCATAGCGTTCGACCACTGCCACTGTCACTGCCACTGTCAACAGACGATGGCAATAGTGTGACGCCAACGCGCCACACATACCTATCTATAAAAATATGTGTGTTTATATGTATATACTGAGCTCGTGTGCTAAGCGATTGTGTGACTTTTGTTGTTATGGTTTTCAGTTCAGTTTTGTTGCCATTCATATTTATTTAATTGCTGCAAAAGAAATCGATGGCCATCGAGCATTTTTAACATTGCCATAAATCTAAGTAAAGCGGCAGTAGTGGCCAAGAAGAAAAGCATAATATATGTATGAATATACTTATTTTTATAAAGATACTTGCTGTGGCTAAATAGGAATCTAAATTAAAAATGAAAAGTGAGAAAATAAAGGAAAGTTTCGTATACATACATATGTATGTACATACGTCTGTATTAACTTTGAAAAAATAATGCAATTATAAAATATAATATAAGTGTTTTCCGCAGCTTTCATAACAAATTAAATGAATTATTTCAATTACATACATATATACATACATACATATATGCTTCTAGTTATTTGGCTTGTGGTATTTTTATCAATACCCATATACTATTTAGATATGTACATACACACATACATATGTATCTACATCTTTAAATGCATATATGTACGCATGTATGTATGCGCACCCAAGCAAAAATCTGCTTTTTATGTGCTGTCTGTAATCGCTCAACATACAACATATTTATATACTAATAACATGTCTACATAAGTACATATGTATGTATATGCATACATGATAAAACACACACGTACCTGTTTAGCTATTCAGGCTCGTCGCAACGTCTTATCAATTATCCAATAAATGTCAGTGCCACCGGTCAACGCGACAACAGGCGGACAAAGTATTTTGTACACTCTAAATATCGTTTATTTTTACATATCTACTTACATATGCACAGACATAAATTATAGATATGTATGTATTCAAAAATATTGCAATTTATTTACATACTTACTTGTACTATGCATGTTTTCCTACATACAAATTTCTTACTTAGCAGCGTCCAACAGACAAGCTGATTGACAGACAAGTAAAGTGACTTAGTAGTAATGATTTAGTTATGCCGCTGATAAAAATAATGCCACTTCAGGGTTTCGTAAACTTTCATGCTCGTGTACACTTATGTATGTACATATGTATGTACATATGTATGAACAGTAGAGCGATCTAACAAAAATTTTTCCCAGATAGGGTTTGGGGCACCTTCAAAAATTTGTCCTCCTGCCGAAAGAGGTGCTGCTACCAACTTTACGTTTCTATGTATGAATTTAGAGGATGCCCATGATGCAGATATTTTACTCTAGGAATCTTGTGTACATATATTAATCAAACAATTGGTTAAGCCATATAAGAATATTTTAAATCTAAATGGTCTAAAAAATCAGGACTGAACTAATATAGTATTCGCATGAGGTGACTTTCTAGGCAATTTAAGAGGCGATTTGTTGAATCAAAAGTTGGCTGCACCCGAACTTCATTGGAAGCGATTAGTTGAAATGCCGTTCACACCAGGCGATTGTGGCTTTCAACTAAATGTTGCCTGTAAAATCGCCTCATGCGAACACCGTATAAGGGGGTGACCCGTTTTCTATGATGAAATTTTTGTCCTCCATACAAAAATTGGACCACTCTAATGTACGGTGACTCAAACAAGTGACCACGTGTTGATTTTTTTTTTTAAATGCTCATATCTAATGTATTTCGAGATCAACTTTGTGTTATTTTTCTATAAAAATACCGTTCAGACTTTAACCACAACTATAAATTTAAACCACAGTTTCAAACTTAATATAAAATTTAGGAAAATTCAACAAATCTGAATCTGAATGAAAAATTTTAACTTCTTAATCTGAGTCTTTAGAAAATTTTTGGGTATGCGGTTTTATATACAATTTTAGTCAAACAAAGAGCAAGTTCCAACAGGTTAAAAAATTGCGTTGCTTTTTGTGATTTTTTTTTTTGGAGACTGCTTTTGTGGTAATTTTTACACAACAGGTACAATTTACAAAACACTGGCATTGATTTTTTGAAATTTTGTTGCAAACCATTTCCTGCATTTTATTTCATAAGAAATTCATGAAAAAAAGTGTGAAAATTCGAAATCCAAAAAAAATGTTAAAATTCAATGGGATTTTTTAGCCGTGAGAAACTTCCCCTTCAAGCCTGGGCAATATTTTTATACAGAAATAACAAAAAAATTTATCTCGAAAAACATTAGGCATATTAAAAAAAAATCAACACGCGGTCACTTGTTTGAGGCACTGTATGTGTAACAACATTTGCATGTAAAATATGCACACTTATGTACTTCGAGCTGTAAGCTGTTGTATCAGGTGTTGCCTTACTAGATTTTTAAATGTCATTTTAAAGTGATAAGGTTTTTAATTTTGTACCTGTTTGATGAAAAAAAGAATTTTCACCAACTATGTACATATCATTATGTATGCCCATACATATGTATTTACTTATTATGGCACTTTTAGAGACAAAAACCTGTTGATGATAAGCGCATTTAGGAAGTTATTTTTTTAATTATTTACAACGTCAAAGTTAACGAATTTCAATAACTAACAAGAAAGGACTATGCCGAAGACTTCATATCTTTAATGAACATCAGAAAATTTTAGCCTAACCTATTACTGCGTCTTAAATTAGTTGTTTGGTAGCTAAACAAATTATTGAATACCTGAAATAAAAAAGCAACCTTGAAGGAAATTAGACCGCGCGCGGAATACTTTTTGTGCGTCTGCCCCGCCTTTGCAAGGTATAGATATTCGGCGTTTGGCAGAGATGTGCTGAGAGGCTCTTTAACGTCTAACAATCTGCTCCGATTTATTCGAAAACGGTACAATGGACGGCATACTTACAGTCTGAGTGCTGTTGTCAGCCTGCGTTGTTATACCTTTCATGAAAATGAAATTTTATTATAACTTTGGTCCAATCTTTGTAAGTATCAGAAGAAGAAGAGAAATACCCATGAAAATTTATAGCAAAATGTTCAGAACGTCGAGTAGAGTTTATTTGGCCATAGCCATCTGTCTGTCTGTTTCAACATATTCTAGTTCGGACTATGAAATTTCGCATAACTTTCACTCATTATTAACAGAAACCTTACAGTGAAAATGATAAAGTTCGGTTTACTAAAACCTATAGCCTCCATACAACTGATTTTCCTGATATGGGGTATTTGTAAAACTCTTTAATTTGGACGGCTAAAACCAAGCAATTTCGTGAGCTATTTTCTAAATAATCATACAAATTCGACTGAGAAAATCGTCAATATCTCCTTTATCACTGATTGTTCAGATACAAGTTTTGCGATATAATTTCATTAAATATTTAGGAAAACCATTAAATCTATGAATACGGTGCACTATGGTCTGGCGACTATCATTTGCTGGCCAAAAGTCTAGAAGTAACCAAATTGATTCGAAACTTGGCGTTTGGCGGTTTTTGAGTTTGCTGATTTCGAATTTGATGTCAGATTTTCGAAAATAAAAGTGACGGATCCAATATGGCGACCAAATTTTATAATTTTTTCTTTTTAACCAAAAACGTATACATAAGGAGGGTTTTCGAGTTCGATGACTTCAAATTTGATGTCAGATTTTTAAATTGAAAATGGCGGATCCAAAATTTGAGTTTAAAATTTTTTTTTAATTTTTGCTGTATATTTTTTCTAATCATAGCTACTTCAATTAAACACTTTTCCTTTTAGACATAGAATTGTGTCGGTATAACGACGAAGCCGAAAAGATAGAGCTTTAAGCTGTCCTTCCGTAGTTTCTGGGTTCGATGTCAGGACAATTGTTTAATTTTAATTTTTATA